GGCCTGCCGGTGTCTGAAGTCACTTTCGGACTCAGGACTGTGCTTACCGCCTCCGGTCCACTGTCACATAAAGGGAAAATTACATAAATACCCATATTACAACGTTACCTTGCTGGGTTACAACACAGTACATCGCATTACATCAGATCACGTCACGCCACAGCATATCATGTCGCGTCACACTACATTCCATTAAATTCCATTTCATCACATACACATAATACATACACTGTATACTGCAACACAAAACCATGATGCCAGTGCAGTTCTGTGCGGAAGCAACAGAATTGGATTCTATGCCGTATTGTACAGTTTAGCCTAGCCGGACACAGCACTATAGTAGCATCTGCTATGATGTGACATACACTAATGTAGAAATACCCGGCTGGTTCGATTCTCTGCATGCTTTCATGTCCAGACCACTGTCACACAACAGACTGGATCGATGCTTCTTGGCACCCTCTGTCGCCAGCATAATGTAAACCTCCTATTTATAAACCCCCCCTCAATTACAAAACCCCACCCCCGGAACTCAACTATAAACCCCCCCTGAATTACAAAACCCCCCGGCCCAAATCCCCGAAATTAGGTACTTGTTGTTCCGTCTTGTGAGAGAAAGAAAGAGAGAGAAACTGCAGCTACTACGACAGCTTCAGGTCTATACTACTGTACTGCGACGACCGACCCCCCCCCCTTAAATAGTCAATAGTCAATCCCCCCCACCGGGCGAAGGGTGGGGTTATTATTAGGAGGTTAACATTAATCAAACTTGGTGTGCAGGGAAGCAGATACAGGACGCAAAATATGGTTAACTCCAGACTGAACTCCGTCAGCAAAACCACGCCGCTCCTTCCGCGGGAAGCTCTTGGATCGCGACCTCTCAAGTGTCACGACGAACCGAGCTTCCGAATCTTAGGCCTGCAACTATGACAGTCAGGAGCAACAACAAAAGCAGAAGAGCCTAAGCACAATACAAAGATGCGGATATTAGTACGGTAGAGCTAATTCCCTCCACTATGAGTATCACGACGGCGACTACTCCCAATGGCCCTGCTTGCTGCTACACCACTGTGACCAGCTCCAGCACCAGAACCAGCTGCAGCAGCAGCAGCAGCGCCACCGCCACCGCTACCGCCACGACCACCACCGCCACCCCGACCACCACCGCTACCCCGACCACCACCACCACCTTCAGCAGCAGCAGCAGCAGCAGCAGCAGCAGCACCAGCACCAGCAGCAGCACCAGCACCAGCACCAGCTCCACCACCCCTCAGCATGTGCCAATTGTTGGATGTTTCCAACAGCAAACATGGGGTGGTAGGAGCCGCTTAAACACGTTCCATGAAGGCCTGGTCGATGACCGAGAGAAGCGTCAGTAATGCTATAAAGTTGCAACTAGGAACAACCAGAGAACCTGAAACACATGGAGAGGCTGACTTTGCTGACAGTCTCGCAGCATTAGACGAATATGGTGCTGGATTATCATTGCTGTCATCGTCACTTAGACTTGTCGTGCGTCTGATCGTCAGTATCCTGAACGACAGTCATGCTTTTCTGTCGAGAACACAACGAAACATGAACTCCAGCAATGTCACCTGCTTGTCACGATATTTACGACCCGTCCCAGTATACATACATACATGCATGCATGAATACATATATATATATATATATATGTATGGACTGCATACTGCGGACGATGAAGCACGACTACCAGCAATCCTCCTGAATAATTATATAGACCCAACTCAGTCTCCAGCATGTTGCCATCCCACATTCGTTTCAGTCACCTTTCCGCAGTGTAGCCTCTGCCTCAGCAGGCGTGAACGGACAGCTTCTGCATCTCAACTGATCCGGACGGACTTGGCCAAATCGTGAATTTCTTGCATGCCCAAGTGCAGATGCAAGGCTGGCCCCGGCGAGGCTCTTCGCTTGAAGATGGGCAACACCAATTACAAATCCGGCTGCTTTATTAATCCCTGTAACTTCCCAGTGGCCTATAGTCTCCGCTGTCCTGGCTTCTTAGGCAGCCCACTTCCCAATCCTATTCGTCCCAACGCACACTCCACCGGCCGGCCTCCATGATCGCCAGCGCTGGCACAGTGTGGGATCCTGCTTCTTTGCACAAGGAACACTTGGGGGGGAAAGCCCTCCTCCTCCTCCTCTCCGAGTACATCGTGGAGACTGACCGAGGACCCGCTGGTGAAGATGAGAGAACATAGACATGTGGAGACCGATGTGGAAAGCAAAGTTCATACAAGGAAGCGCGCCCTAGATTTGAACATTTTGAGACAGCCAGATGCTCGCATCTTGCGTTGTTCGCAATAGGATCTGGCATTCCATGGGTGCTTCTTGCACATCCACAGAGACTGTCAAAGCCAGGCACTGGTCAATGCTCCCTTGCCAATGCATAACATGGAGCCCCCTTGCAAAAAGCTAAACGGCAGACCACATCCATGTAGTCACCATCAGCATCGGAAGTATTGAAACCAGTGAAGCTATACACACAGCAGCGTGTGGCCCAAAAACCTTAAAAGTCAAGCAGATGCAAACCCAAGAGCTCAATCAGCTGGCGGACAGTCGCGCCTGCGAAGGGATGCAAACACAGTCTCAACAAGTCTGGCCTAGCTGCCCCTGGCTTGAAGTCATATAGAATATGTAAGTACCCTAGAACACTAATTAGACTATGATAGTGGACTATATGTTCGGAAGTTAGGCCGGAAGGCCCAACCTGCGATCGTGTTTAAAGCCGGGCACTTCGGGTCTTGGGGTGGGTTGGGTAGTCTGTCAGTTATGCCCGGTCCTCAAACGAAGCAGCCATGCTAGCATGCTTTTGTCGCAAGGCACGAAACATGGCAGAGCAATCATCCTCGCCCCGGCGAATGCACGGCTTCGCGAAGCGGGGTGGTCTGGTACTTCTTGCATAGTAAGTTGGCTACAGACTCATTAGCCGTAAGCGTCAAGATAGAAGCAACCCTTGCTAATGATGCCTGGCACGTATGTTGTAGCAGTGTACCGTGACAATTGGTGAGCGATGGAACTCAATGCCAGTGGAGCTTGTCTCCAACCTAGGACCTAGGGCTCAGGTGGGGATCAGCCCAGTCCGCTCACTCCTTCATCATCGCCCTGGGAGAAGCGATGCATACAACGGCTGGCATTTCTCGACTGCCTAGCTGCCCAACTAAAAACAACCACCCCGAGCACGCGACAAGGCGGTGCAACCATGAAGCCCTATAAACGCCCTGAGCTCATCTGCCACGTGGCTCTTCATCCTTCAGGGACTCTTCCTTCATGATCTCCCGGGTGATGTCCCCCATGTCGGGCTTGTTCTCTCCCTGGAGATACGGACTCCCAGAAGGGTTCGTTGGGCCTGGCAGCTTCGGGCTATGCAGAAGCAGGAAGCCACAGTCAAGACCAGATGTCACTGGAGTCTGAAGTCGTGTTTTCAAACCTTCAGGGTTTGGGCAACTCACCTTTCGCAGCTCGGACGATCCATTCGATTCAAGGCTTGGTGTAACCACTTCGATAAGTCTCTCGCAAAGGGAAGTCCTGCATAACGGTGGAAACCATACCGGTGTGTCGAAGGCTGGCCGATGTCCGGAGAGAACACTTGAGAACATGTAAGGTATGTATTTGGCTCTTCAAATAAAATTGGCCTTACAGTCACCAGACATCCGTACCACTTGTACTACAATGATGCCCATGCTGCACAACTCAAGCCCGGTGTGCCAATACCCCAAAGCAGAAATCTCAAACGTGGCCATATAGCCATATTGCCGCAACAACCCTGCCATTGTGCCCAGATCTTCGACGCCCGGCCGCCTGCATGTTCGCACCCGCTTCCAAGCCAGGCTCCTGGAGCATGCTTGCAGCTCTTCAAGAAGCCCTGCACATTGTTGAAGATACACGCAAGTCTATTCAGAACATCCTCGAGCCTTATATGTCTCATGCAACTGCTCACAGCATGGCGCAGGATGGCCCCGTTTGCATCGTGCAGAAACCAAGCTGTCAAGGATGCCTCCCTTCCGCAGCACATGCAGATTCATGCGTCAAACCGTCAAACCATCCCTCCATCCATTCATCCGTGCATACATACAGACATACATCCATCCATACAACGTAGATGCAGTGCGTGAGCCTACACACGTACCAATAGGCCAGTAGGCACAGCCTTGACACGTCATGCCGCATCCGAAGTCCTTGACAGCCCCTTGTTCCGCCTCTTTCGCGATCCTGGGTCTGCATGCTCTGCGCAACACGAAACGGTAGCACGAAAGCTAGATCATGGATTTAGGGCTGCTATGTCTGAGAGGGCTGAGGATGACAGCCGTGCAGCAAGAACTCGTAATCAGTGCTGGACCAAACAGAGCTGCCTAGCACTGCTGCCTAGCTGGTTTCTAGATGTGTACTTTCCCCGGGACTTTCCCCAGACAGCCCTTGCTGTGAGTGTGTGCGTAATGTTGCTGCCCAAACCCCGGTGCACCTCCGCAGTGCGGTAGCCTAACTACCACGAAGACTTGTCAAGTTCCACAACATGGTTTGTTGGTGCGAGTAAAAGAGTGCCAAATGCGAGCAGGTGTGTCGCCTCTTGCCATTCATTGCAACTTGCTCTCTAGTCCCCAACAAGTCGTTTGTATGATATCGTCGATTGAACTGAGCTATTACGTGCGAGACCTGATGAATGCTCCTCTTCGGACAAACCCAAGGCCGATGGAAAGCTGTACCTTGAGTTCTTGAACCCGAAATCCGCTTTGTCAGATTGAAATGATGGCTGCTCATCCTTCACACCACCCGCTCATGCACAGGCCATGTAACTGACCCTTCGGTTCGACAGTCATCTCGGTGACCTCATGCAGGGGGCTTCACTACGTATCACCGGGCGCTGGCCATAGTTACAACATGTTACAACTTCGCAGGTTGCCGACGCAAGGATGCGAATCAGTTTTGCATCTGCTTCCATCAACTTGTGACTTCGTGCAAAAGTCTCGCAGAGCTCGAGGCTAATCCCACATACGCCTAACATCAAGAGCTCCGGCCTGCCCTTTGGGAGGTGGTAGGCCAGGAGTGGCCGTCAACTTCATCTCGTCATCCTAGGCTCCGAAGGAAGCTGCTTCCAGGTTTCACCATAGTGCACAGATGAAGGGGCCTCAGTGATTGGAGGAGGGCTTCTCTACTGTTCTGCTTTATCCTTGTATATGGGTAATACAAAAGGGATTGCTGGATTCTAGAGGGCACGGCTTTCAAGAACAAGGGTTCGGGTTAGACCTTGGGAGACGCAGAGGAAGACCTGGGTCACAGCCACATCATGCCCGCAGGTAAAGTACAAGCAATTGGCCTCGAAGTAGTCGATGGGCTCGTCGTTTGCATCCAGGGCTGTGACCCGCAGAGTGTAATTGTTTGATGCCTGGCTGCCATCGACTCACTGCTTTCAAGGCCCATACACGAGAACAATCTGCTGCCCAGCTTGATATGATGTGACAACTGATTTGCAGTCCGCGCTGCATCCGGACAGAACGTCAGAAATCGAAGCCTTGGGCATGAAGCAAAACAGGCTTGCAAGCATTGTGTAAGAGTCACGCAAATTCCGTGATCCAAATTTAAAACTCCACGTAGCAGCAATGGCAAAGCACTCCTGGTTTAACCTGCAGTGCAGACATGGAGGCTGCTGTCCGCTCTTTGCGATCGCCGGCGTCGTCTCCGTAAGCGATGGCCTTTGCACGGAGGTCAATGGTCTCTTGCTTCTCCGATCAGCCATGATGTTATGCAAGGCCTCCCGAGCTGTAGCACAGATGGAGAGACATCGTCGAGCTTCATGCTACTGTAGCAGCTGGCTTTGCCCAGTGGGTGGCTGGACCTAGCCTGTGCGGACACATAGACGAAGCTAAGGAGCAGAAAAGATATGAAAAGACTGATATGCTAGAGCTGCGTGAACGAAAGGTGTATTGAATCTGAAGCATCGGCTAAGTCATCTTTTGGCCTTCAGACATGGTGGCGCCTTCAAATATCCCACCCTGTCGCCAGTCTCCCAGACCCACTTTGCCCTGTTTTATCTGTCGAGTTTTGCAGAGCACCCGCCTGCACGCTTGAGCTCTTTCAACAAACGACTCCAGGTGAAGCTTTCGATTGGCAGCACGCGGGCGAAAAGATGCTCTGCAGCTAGAACATACGAGGAACGACCCCAAGCCCTTCAGATTTGGGTGTTTCAGACAGACTTGACCGTGACGCTAGTCTGGACACCGAGCGCCAAGGTCATGACTGTGCAGGCCGAAGGTTCTCGAAAAAGCGCAGGTTCTGAAACCGATAACATGGAGTTCTGACACATCTCAGCGGCATATCGCCAGGCTTCAGGAAGCGCCGGAGGTCGTATGCGGCATCCTCAGCTCCGCAAGACGGGATGGGGATCGGAAGCGGGCCCCGAAAGGACGTGGGGCACTCGACTTGGGAGAAGTATTAGTCTCTTCTATCGATGTTCATAATGCCTGGAAAGGCCGATTCGGATCTGGTGAGGCGGAAAGCGTCGCTTCGGGCTTTGTTCAATCATCTGGCCCAGGTGCTGTAGTGCATGCCACGTTATGCCAAGCTTTTGTTGCTAGAGGGGGCCATGTCAAAATGCATTGCCAAGTTTTGGCAAGATTGAAAAAGGTATGCTTTCAGCTGCCAGAAATGCCGTGCAAACTTTCTCAGCGTGAACGACAAGATCCCCAGCTCCCCGTCACCATCCCACCTGACCCAGCTCAAGTCCGTCGCCAAGACCAAACTCCTTATCACCGCACAGAACCAGAAACTAAGTGAAACAGGAATGAGCCAATCTAGTGGGCAAGCTGCCCACTGCAGCCTGGCCGTGTTGTCATTTTCCTTAAACCAGAAGGCACATGGGATTGTCTGCCATGCAATGCAGGCAAGCACAGACCACAACTACGAGGCGACATACTCTCGGATCCTTCTTCGCGGGCTCTGCCCATAACATAGGCGAGCAAGACCTGCTTGTTGAAGTAGTTACGAGCCGTGACTCTCTACAATCCTGTATGAACATGAATCACGCAAACCTAGCAAAATCGCACGCATACAAGAACAGTCCCGGTAGCCAAACTTGACTCTGCCCCATGTTGCAAGCTTTTGGGTGATTGATGCTTCAGTGATCTGAAGAGTCCGTCAGACTGCCAGGCACCCTTCAGCTAAAAGTTAAAGGATGTCGGGGCCAAGACTTCTTCAACGGTTCTAGACTGACTCAAGCATTGCCAGCACGTACACATCAGGAGACAAATTGCCTGTTTCTCGACACAGCAGACAACTGGCTGACTGGGCACAGGATGCTAACTGGACAGATGGCACGAAGGTCGAATCAAAACCTGCTACGCCGAACGTCGAATATGAGACCCGACAAGGCTAGCAGGACTTGATTGCGACCGGCAGCATGCAGTCGCCCGCTCAAAACTCTACATGCGACAGCCAGTGCTTGATAGCATTCAATACAACTAGATTAACTAGATGCTGTGCATGTGCATATGTTGACAATCCCTTGCATTGAAAAACAAACTCTCCGAATTTGCGACAGGGTGCCAACCGGACCTTGAGCTTCTGAATGCGGCCGAGGAAATCCTCGGAAGGCTGCAGAAACGAAGTCTCTGCAATCTGCGACATCTGGATGCTCACTTCCCCCGGTCGTTCTTATCGGCACTTTCTGGGGCAGGACAGGCAGGCTTGTGTTCAAGCATACAAACAGTTCGTACCGGTTTGACATAAAGCGTGCGGTATGTGGTTTATCACCGGATACCACAACTGCCGGGCAGGTTGCCTGCGTGCTTTGGCTTGCTGATGTACGTTCAGATCAAACCTCAGGGCCACCAAACCTCCGACAAATCTCCATAATTAGCGGCCTAAATTAATAATTACCAATACTATTTTGGGGGTTCCTTATTGTGATTATAGTATAATGGGCCCCAAAACCTGAGTCTAATTACTAAGGCCCCTATATTCCTCCTCAGCAATCCGCGGACTCTTTGTTCCTATGGATTGGCCTAGCTCGTCTTAGAGATACCCTGTGCAAACCCCCACCTGGAAACCAGCATGCCTGCCTGACTGAAAGGTTTCAATGATTCAACATCGAAGCAACAGCCTGAAAAGTAGATACCTGGAAACACTACTTCCGTGGTAGTTCTGCGCAGACTTAGCCAGGAGGCCGGATGCAGTTCGGTGAATTCCTGCCGGAAAGTGATGCTGGGATGCGACAGCCTGCAGCTGTTCAGTCTGCACAAATTTCGACCGGCTCTTGCCTTCTCAGCCAAAGCAAACTGACTCTGTCTACCAGAACTCTCCGAAGTATTCCATTGCGAGCTCAACGTATGACCCTAGGTCCTAGGTTCAAGCGCATACCTGACAAACATCCTTGTAAACCTGCCTCATACACCCATGGCATCCATGGCATGTCGTTCAAGGATCACACTCGCAATCCTGCCCTTCGCAGGGATCTGGAGGAAGCAGCATAGTCATACACCCCCTTTCCGGATGCTGAACTCGAGATGCGACTAGAGGACGGCTTCCCACTCGGCGGCACCCTACACTTCGATTCCTATCTCCAACCGAACAAATTCCAGACTCGGCCGCGTGGCGCAGGGCGCCAATCGCCGGTGCCACACTTGCAGCCGAAGGTGGGTTTCCTGAAACTCCGCGAAGGAGGCTGCCACTGCTGCGAAGACCCTTGCCACCGCCAGCGCCACCGCCACTACGACTACGACTACCTACTGCTATTGCTACTGCTTCACGTACTCCCATTCCAGTCCTACACTAGTCCTACTTACTCCCACTCTTCCAACTTCCGCTCTTGCTACTACTCGTAATATCAGAATTCATGGTTTACTACTACCACTACTGCCACCACTGCTAAAACTGCTAATTACCACAACTACCACAACAAAACCGTACTACTACCACTACCAACAAACCACCACCACCACCGCCGCCGCCGCCGCCACCACCACCACCACCACCACCGCCGCCACGACTGCGACTGCGACTGCGACTGCTACTGCTACTGCTACTGCTACTTCTTCTTCTCCTACGCCTCCACCTCCGCCCACTCCGACCTACTCCGACTCCGACTCCTGCGACATCGACAAAAATACGAAAACACTTAGGGTCGTGCCTTCTGCTCAGCGCATGTACAACACTCCTGTGATTCTTGTGAGTGTCGGCCGTCACTGCTTAGTGGCTTAGTGGAATTCTGTCATGCTTCCAAGCACTCGCGGCACCATCATCACCGTTATCGCCACATCATCATCACCAGCAGCATCATCCGGAGTCTGTGTCTGTTCACAGTTACAGTACCTTACAGGCGGCAGATGTTGCAGACAAGCATACCGCTTCACAGTGCCATCTTGTGAGGCCTCGAGAAACTCTTGATGTTCGTACGTCTGCTTGCTGCCTCGCGTCATCTCACCGTCTTCGCTCGAAGCGATGTCCTGCCAGCTCAGCTATGTACCATCATGGGCTCACGGACGTGGTCCGCAGAAACGGATTTCACGCTTCTACGTGTTTGTGTGGCATGGCCATGTTGTGTGCCCTCCGTGACGGCTGTCAAAAGATAGCAGGCGCATCTCCAGACCTTGGAAAAGTACCCCACTGCCGGCGTGGTCACCTTCACTTCCCTTAGCGAGCACACAAAGCTATGACAAGTGAATTAGCACTCTGCCTCTCTCGCGGCCAACAGTATACTGTGCGTCAAAACTCCAAAGATGCACGTCTATAGGGGCCAGTAGATGTAGATCTTGCCGACACCAATCGCACACATGCCCATACAGATTGCTCTTCGCACACCTCTTGTTGTACTGAAAGCACAGCTTCGATCCCGGAGAAAAGCTGTACCTCTGAAAGATCAGGGACTTATTTATGATTATCTCAGATAAAGTCCCGTGCCCAGATACGGAAGGCCATCCAGGTTCTCCCACATAGGCGGGCGTTCGATGTCCTCCTCCTCTTCTTTCGGATCCTCGGACTCGTCCTGAGCTGTGCGAAAGTTTGAGGGGTCAGTGTCCCCAAATGAAACATTGCTTGCAGAATTCTGTCCTTGTGTTGCTCTTTCAGGATCTGATGGGTTGGATTGAAAGCTGATGCACTGTGCTCTCTCAGGCACCACGAGCCAAAGCTCGTCACAGCCCCTTGTTGAAAACCGTCTTCGACTGCGATGAAGCCTTTTGCGGCATCACCCAGAACCGCCATATTTCAGCAAGAATCTCGTAACCGCCTGCTACATACACTACCGGCAACCAGTGTGCGGCCGAGGCACCCCCCTGATGCCAGCGAGAGCTGGAGCATTATCCTCAAATCTTCAGCATGCGATTTGCAACAGCAGCACTCAGGATACGATGCGCGCTGGAACCAATAAATCACATGTGCACGGCACTACGCTTCTGGTTGAATCAAAGCCACGCGGTCCACCTCGAAGGCCTCGGCAGCACATTCCCACGCAAAGGCAGCAACTCGTAAAAGAATTCTCCTGCGCTTGAAGTGTCCCGGTCCCATTTTATGTGCTGCTTCTGATGTTGTTAAAACCCACATACTTGTCATCAATGCTGTCGAGGTGCGGTGCGCAACGGCCTCAGGCACTTACAGGTCTTTTCAGTGTCAAACATGCTTTTCGACAGGATCTTGGGGCTTTATGTCTGTCCTGACTTCAGCAAGGACTTTAACAGCAAAACTCGTCCTTCTATTGAATGCTGACGAGAAGCCTCGCAGTCGGCAAAGCTTCGTGCCACAGGGCTCTGCGTCCAAGCCTCCGCTGATATGACAGAGGTGAGACCGCAACTGGCGAATGGTTTCAGTCCTGAGTGATAGCACGAGGGTCTCGGCAACGGGAATAAAACCACAGTCGTGAGCAGAAATTGCACTTGACTGAAAAATACATGTAGACATAAACGTGCACATACATACATACATACATATACATTTACATACATACTTGCATGCATGAATGCATGCATGCATGCATACAAACACATAGATAGACACATGCATACATACATCCATACACATGTACATACTTTACATCAGGTTACAATACAATACATACATCCATGCATGCGTAGATATATGTATGTACGTGTGTATGTATGCATGCATACGAATACATGCATACATACATCCATGCATCATCACATTACATTACATACATGCATATAACACATATATATATATATATATATACATGAACATATGTATATGTGACCAGGAATGTATGCTTTCATGTCAACATCAACTGTGATGAAGTGCTCACAGACAGCTGGGGCTGCGGTCTTAGGCTGTATACTGACACGCATCTACAGATGACACAAACACATGGAATACATTTCCAGATGCTGACTGCAAACTGGCTCTTCGTGCCAACACTACACCTCCAGCTGCACACCGTTGAACCTACACTAGTACATCGCACACACCGTCTGCGAAGCAATATCGTTGAGCTGAGGCGAAGCGTGAGGTGCCAGGACATGCCAGCTGCCACGCAGTGAAACATTCTAAAAGCCATGGCCAACACCACCCTGCCTGCAAACCTTTGCAGATGCAGCGGTCGCTAACCTCAAGAGCCAAGAGCTGAGGCAGGTTTGCAGCAGTCTGAAGGCAACCCAAAGAAAGGTTGATGCCTCCAGCGAAATACCTGCGATTTGGGCTAAGGCGGCCGAGACGTGTCGGTGTTGCGGATAGAAGCCCTGCCAACATGTCATGTGCATTCCCCATCCAATGCTCATCTAGTTACATGTCTACGGACGGGTTTATGGGGACCCTGTGACCTGACTACGCAAGCTGATATTGAAAACACAAGAAGAGTCCCTTAGTTCGAGGACTTCGAACCTCTGCAAGATTCTGCGCGACTTTTCCTTGAAAGTGTATATAATATATAGTAGACGCCAGAAAGTTGGAACATGGCTTTAGGAGGATTAGTGCTCGGATCCCTTATACTTTACCTTAAGGGCATGGGGACAATGATGTTCCAACTTTCTGGCTTCTACTGTATATGTATATATATATATATATATGTATACATACATATATAAACAGTTATAAGCACCATAAACATGTATAAACCCCCATAAACGAAAGCCTTAAACCTCAATCCCTCCGCCCCAAAGATCTCGGCAAAGTAAGCAAAAGCCCAGGGGCAGCTCAGTCCCACTTTGGCGGGTCGCCTTCGGCGCAGTGAGCACTCCCCACGCCTGCAACGAGTAATGTAAGAGAGAAGGATGCCCGGGTGAAACAGGGTGCCTTTGGGCTCTATAATAAGGTTTAGTTTAATGGCAATGTTCTTTGTTTTGTTGCACCCTCTTTTCCTTTAGCAGCTAGCGTCTGGACAACCATGTTGAGGGAGGGGGACACCCAGCAGTACCACAACGACAGGCGGGATATACCACCTACCACCTAAACCTACCCCCAATACTGCGGCGCCAATGGGGTTGTAGCATTCAATCTTTAGGCTTGCATTGAGGGCACACTTTTCTCGCCTCAAAGTGGCGCGGTGAGGCTCTATCAAGCTAAGGAGCTCAAAAGGCCCTACTGCTTAGTTTAAGAAGGGCTGGTTTAAGAGTGTCATGTGTCCTTTGAATAGTGCAGCCGTGTTCTCGCACTAGTGCAACTATCACAGGCTGCTACCCCTCTACTTGTACAAATAAGCGCCCAGTAGGTGTCAAAATCTTCATACTGCAACAACCAGCCTCATTTAGCGAGTTGCCCCAGCCCGGCATGAGGCGCGCGGCCGAGGACGAAGAGAAAGCAACACCACAATAGGACTTGCCTTAGACAATATTTCGACACACACTAACATGACCGTGCATCTTTGGCTACAGTGTTAGCACGATGTATGTACGAGGTCTACTCAATGAATACCCTGTTTCGTGTAATTGCAGTCGATACCGAGTGCGGATAGACCATTGGGCTGATTGTTCCACCATGACTTGTCGTGTAAGCGACGTCTAAGTGTGCATGACATGGTCTGGTAAGTACAGGTCAGAGTTCAAACATGCACAATGTCCTCACCGGAGGTTGGCATAAATCATGTAGCACAGCCTTCTGCACGATACCTCCTGCTGGAACATGGATGCTGCCCCTTTGGGCCAGCGGCTGCGTGTTTAGCAAGTTGCCATGGACATCTACAAGAACACAAGAAGCTCAAGATGATCACCTGCTTGATGGAGAGCTTGTTTCAAGAGGAAAACACTCCAAGAATGCAATTCCATATGGAGGCCATAATTAATCGAAGACCCGGAGCTAAGTAATGTGTTAGCGGGCCGGTGCAGGGTTTCTTCCAGGAAGAGTGCGGATTCAGTGGTGCACAGGGCCGCCGCACCCCTGCAGCAACGGTGCCACTGGAAGCTCGGTGCCATCGCTCCTGGCCAATGTTGTGGCTTTCTCGATTTCGCTCCTATCCCTCGTCCAATTATGAAATGCGAGTTCTCGAGAACAAAGAGCTGAGCTCGTCCGACAACCCTGTCCGCGGCCATTTTTCCTACAGACTTCGTGAAGATAGGTAAGCGGAGCTTGGAGGACCCTGTGAACAGTCAAGAAAGGCCAAGCTTGCCATGTGCATGGGGCAGACACCTCGCAAGTCAATGAGGGGAAGTAATCTGAGGACTTCCAGCAGCATCTACCTTGTAGGTGTCCTTCATTTGTGTGTGTGCCCTCTACCCTTGCCTCGCTGGCTGACAGTTGCCGTTAGCAACTGTCATCAGTGAAATGCGAGACCGACCCGTGCAGAAGCTACTAAACACCATTGAACGCACCGGTTCAGGCGAAGGCGAAAGAGTCACAACCGAACGTGCTAACACTAAGTTCACGAAGGCGTGCTTCGAACCGATGTGAATTTCTCGTCTAACTAAGCACATCTGCATGCAGCATGCAGATGTGCCGAATAATGCTCCTATCAATGCATCTCTGGCACCCTCAATCTCGAAGGTTCCCGAAGATCGCCAGCCAAGAGAATGCAAGACGAGAGTTTCTGGAGCCTGCGAAGCTGATGTGATGCTGTTGCTGGGCATGCGAGTCCTGGTCACAAAGCCGGGTTCACTTGGTAGCGCCACAGTTTACACTGCAGCCATGGGGTTGTAGCTCTGAATTCTGAATGCAAGTCAGAGACTACGGAATCGCGGCTATGTATGGTGCAGAAACAGCTGCGTCGTGGCTTCACGTCCTGTCAATGCCTTCCAGCCGGGGCGTGATCTCACTCGAGGCATTTGTGTATGCCTCGGCGGAGGCACCCATCGCACACACGCGTACACATCACCACGCAAAACTGGCAGCTGCGCCAAGAGCTCAAATGAAGCTCAACCATGCTTCAGCACCGCGGACGCACATCGCCCTTGTCCCCTCGTCCCGGAAACATGACAGACCCAACACCACATGATCTGTCGTGCAGAAGGAGGCTACAACACCAGTCACCGATGGCGTCCATGATGAAGACTGCGACTCCTCGCGCGTAGTGCTGAAGTCGCTGCAAAGCAGGCCGTGCTTGGCATGCTTGTGACGGAAACAAGCTCACCATCAGAAGAGGTCCTCTTCCTCGTCGAGCAGGCCCTCATCGAACCTCCGGAATGGAAGCAATGAGCGAGCGAACTCAGCGTCATAAACTCGATCTTCACCGAGTCTCGACGTATGGTGAGATATGGTAGGAGTCCGGGCTTTGAAGATGATTTCGGTGCATGACTTGACACATCATAACCGATATGAGCTGATCTGGCATGATATGGTACTGTGTACGGTCTGAACTGGAATGAACGGACATGACCTCATACGACATGGTACCATATGACATGACATGATACTGTGAGCTACTGCATGGGACATGACATGACATGGCATATTGAATACTATGTAACGCCCATAGTGATATGAAGCGCTGCGATACGGCTTGAGATGAGATGGCATGATCAAGTATGAACTATGTATGCACTGAAACTATGCATTTATATGAATACGAAGTACATGTTCATATTACATATATATATATATATATATGTATATATATATATATATGTCATGTATGATACGCTCTGTACATATATATATATATATATATATATATATATATGTATGTACACACACATATATATATATATATGTATATATTAGCGGTACGCCGTGACATCATGATTGCGACTGCAGCGATTCTTCTTGCCAACCTTGCACCATCACCTCTAAGCTCTGACGACTGCAAAAAGACTGCGCAGAAAAGCCCCGCACACTTTTTCGGTTCTTGCTCGGTAAGAGCGGCATTAATCCGAAACTACATGGTCAAGGAACCCGTCTATCATCAACATTGCTACAAAAATCACAAGAGTCGCAGGCCCATGACTCTCCATATGAAGAGATGTCTGACTGCATGCATCGGAGCGCAAGCCGCTTGAGCGCTCGTCCCTCGCATGCTCCTATATGCTCTGGTCGAGTCCTTGGAGGCATGGTGATCGACACAACTTGCAGTTAAGAATTGCGAGTGCCTGTCGTCGCGGGGACAAAGGCTTGTGCATCGCAAAGCCTCTAGCAGCATCGTTCTGGAGAACCCTCAGGCCCGTAAAGTGCCCAACTGTGGGAATCATGCAGAACGTGGTCAGGACAGTTGCTCTGAGTCGTTTGACCATACCTCACTCATGTCAAGGCAGCAACTTCGTTGCGCCAAGGTGTCAAGTCTTGCAGATCACCCGGCAGGAAACCCCGTCGTCGCTGGGGATGTTTCTTCGCGTTGACTTTGATAGGGCCTGATAGGGAACCCTTGAACCGCAACCGCAGGAATCTTTGGCAAAGCCTACACCGCAGCCCCAGGAAAACGACGAAGAACTTTGGCCAAGGTCGATCCTAGATCTCATACAATTCAAGGATTGCTACTCAAAATCTTGGTTCCCATGGCTTCTCAATCTCATGGCTTTCAATGTGCCTTTATGAGCTGAACTCCAATCCACGACACCAGCATCAGGGCTTACAGCACCTGCCTGATTGTAAACCTCTCATTTCCCCACGTAGACAGCAAACGTCGTCTGCTCGTCGACGGCTGTACTAAACTAAACGATTGATCAGACCACACAAAGTCTGTGGTATCAAGCTTCTTCATGGAAGGCAGCATGCACGAGATGTGTCTTGATGCAGGTAGAAGCCATAGGAGGCCACAGCGAATTCAGACGTCCTGATTTGAATTTGCATCTTGCCCGTGGGCTGATTTGTGCGGGCCACCTGTTGTGTGAAGCATGTGCCGGGTCCAGCATGGCTCTCTATCCGAAGCTGGGGAGGGACGCTTGTCTCACTCGTCTGCTAGATACGGAAGGAGGGAAAGCCAAGTTTCAATGCTGCTACAGACTACTCTGCCAGCCGCAAATCAACCAACGTGCAGTTCCAGTGTCAAACCACTGGTGCAGGATTTTGGATCCCTATAAGAAGAACGCTAGACTGCTGGATAGGGTGCGCTGCACGGACCCATTTGTTGTGGAGCAATGGAGAGACTCCACAAAGCCGTCATACCCGATCAGCGGCAAAGTAAGATGCTGGGTTTCCGATGGCAGTCGGTTCCAGGCCGGTTTGCGTGCGAAGTGAGAAGCCTTCAGTGCGCAACTTGCATGATGACACTGACAAGGCAGGCTGCCCTTGATAGAAGCTGCACATGAACGTATTCCTGAAGGACTCTAGAAAACACAAGATGGGGAAGAGCATTAGTGCATATCGGTGTGCCGTGCCGGCTTCGAGGAAGGCTGCCTTTTGCCAGGTTTCTACACTGGTTACAGTCCCTTTTCCTTGTTGGAATCTAAACCTAAACGGCCTGTGCCTGCTGCATCCTCTAGCATCTGAATATGTACATCGCAAACCGACGACCTGGGGTGCGGTGAGCCCATATAGATGCTGCCATGTTTCGGCCACTCCCCACTTGAAGCGCAGAAACGGAGGTGTCATACGCCCTGAAGACTCCGACCTCAATCCACAGGAATCCACAGGTGACTGGCGCCTTGCACATGTCTAATGCCTGAGTCATGCTGACAATGTCTTGGGACTGCACAGAATGCGGTGGATACGTATGGATGCCATCTTGCTGACAGGGAGCGATCTCGAAAGAGTCTCCTTGTTGCATATCTTTTCGTCGACGTGAGCGCAGGTGTCCGGAGCACTCCTCGGCAAGTTTGGAGGCTTCACAGCAACCTGAAGTCTGCATTGCGCAGGAAGCCGGAATGCCCGGAACAAGCCGGCAAACCTAAAGTGCAAAAACCACTCGCCGCAGCACCAGCAATCTGAGCTGTTGAGGAGTTGTGGCATTTCACTGAAAGACCCAAAGGGTCCATTATACCATTATAATAGGCACTTAGTACCCTAAAGTATATACTACATATATATAATATAATATATATATATATAGATAGATATGCATTTATCCACTACCCTTTGGGGAAGACCCGGCCGGGAGCCCCGGCAAACGCGAGGCCGGAAGCGCTTTGCGGGACTTCGCCTCGCTTCATCAGTCGTAGGCACAGGTCACAACTTGGCAAGATGGGGCGCTAATACTTACCATTTTTTGGGGTTCCTTACTATATAGTTACTATATACTAATTATTTAGTTATACTTTAGTATAGGGGCTAGTAATTTGTAATATTTATAAGAATAATGATAATAATAGCAGTATTAGTAATGATATCTGCAATAATAATAGTAATACTAATTACTATTTGGGGTGGTTTCCTTATTATAGTTATTATAGTTATAGTTCATTATACTTGATAGTTACCAATATTATGGCGGGGGTTCCTTACTTATTAGAAATGTAGTACAATGGGCCCCAAAGCCCTATTCTAATTCGTATAAGGCCCCTATAGTGCTCTTAAACTTCTCCGGTGGAACCTGTCTGATGATCCTCAAAGACCTTCGATGCTCTTCATGTTGCGGAATGCATGCTCCTCTACCCGACAGAAGGACTGCGCCAGACAAGACCACGTCACGCCATGTCAGCTCGCCCGTCTCCCGGTAGCTGCCGGCCTCAGATGGAGGTGAAACCACACACTCGACAGCCTCATTCCTGAAAACTGGCATCTGAACTCGGGCAACGAAGTAACCCGTCGCAATCCGTAAAGGCAATGTAATATGACTCCAAGACTTTCGGCCCGGTTTTTCAAGCGGTGATTTCAAGTGGCATGTAGAACTGCATAGGCTCCCCCCACAAGCCAGTATGGAAGCCCGGTATCCCTGTTCGAAGACAGATCCATCACCAGCACCAATCGACAACGACTGGTACTTGTAGCACTACTACGACGATCACGCTTGTGCAACCACTCCTGTCAAACATCCTTACTGTCACCGCCAGCCATGCAGAAACTCCCAGAGTCGAGGGCCGGACGGTTAGCTTGTAGCTGGATAGGGAGTCACTGCCTTGACCCACCTGAGGATGAGGGTTCATGGAAATCAGGGCTGCGCCCAGGTGAGGCAAGTCTCACCGAAAGACTATGCCGCTAAGCCACAGCTGGTTGCGGCTGGTTCTTGGGGCTGTTGTTTTTTGCTAATATCTTCTTCTCGTTTTGAGGCTACACTCCACATGCCAAATGGCTTGGCAACTGCATGTATTCAGAATTGCGACAACGGAGGCCGATCTGTGAGACGAACCCTGTGATTGATCGTGATGCGGCTGCACGGCTTCTCCGTGCAGACAAGCTGCCAGCCGACCTCCTCTTTGGAAGGTCAGGCTATATTCCTGCGGTGGGTTGTGCTTCGGGCCAGGTTTGGGATAATTATGTTGGACTTGGACTGACTCGGGCTTCTGTGGTACAAAAAGAGATTCAGGAAATTCTGGAGAAAACCTGCAGACGCAAGCTTGCAACTGCAAGTCTCGGAATGCACATGTGTGCCAGTCTCCCCGACCTCCCATAAGAGTCTCTGAGAAACTCACTTGGGAAATCCATGCCCACTCCGCGTTGAGTCCTTGCTCGTTGGTGGATCAAAATGCCGGTGGAATCGGGACCTCGTGCAACATCACTGCACTTCACTCTGCATGAAATCAATGAAGTCGTTTAATTGAAAAACTGGCAGCATCTGGATGTCACCATCAGTCGTCGACATCTGCCAGCTTATTCACGGTCGAGAGTCTAACATCACGTCATGAATTAAATGGCGCCTCCATCTGCAGGACTGAAATGACAAGCATGAAAACCTAAAGCGCGCGAAGCTGACAAGCCAGAGGTCACGGAGAGTTCGCCACCTTTGCTTGAAGTAGGACCCTCCGAATGATAGGCCAGGGGGCAACTGAGTCCACGTCCAGGAACCGGACCAGGAGCTTGGACTCAGAGACTGGCACCTTGGATTTCCGCGTTTTGGGATAAGGGGGGGAGGGGCAGGTTCTATAATCCAAAACTTGAATAAGCAGTTTAGGATTTACTTCGCATTTCTCGGCAATGGGGGCAATGGGATTCTGGGTCCCCTGTTGACCGGCTGACACGCTGCCAGGGGCCTGCGAGGCCGCTGGTATCCCCTGATAGATTAGATCCCAGGTGCCGTCTCGCAGACAGGTCGACGTCTGTCAAGATCCAGTCGCTGGCCGTACTCCTTTGCCTGTCCGTATTCTTCACAGGAAGAGACACTCAGCAAACGAACTGAGAAGCTGCGAGTCAGGTACGCAAAGGGAGCAATGCGTTTATGGTACTGCTATTTCGGTCTACTCGGACATAGTAGTCGCATTCCTGTTTCTGATAGTCGCGATGATGATGATGACAGTCATGCCAGTCGAACGCTGATTCCGGACCATAAAGAAAGCATCCGCCTCTAGCAGGCTGAAGCCTACATGTCATGTCTGGTTAAGCGGCGCAGCATAGTAGCCAAGAGGGTAGAAGCTATACGCGTACTAGCATTAACGACTGGCGAAAACTGAAGCGAGCACTGCCAAGGCACACTTGGAATGATACTGACATTGCAAATAGCAGCCAGTGTGAACGCATCCATGCTGATGATATCGTGAACATCACCATCAACGACATCATCAGCATCATCATCGTCATCATCGTCATCATCATCATCATCATCATCAAGTTCGTCAGTATCGGCATCACCATTATCTTCTTCTTCTCTTTCAGTCGCATCGTGTCGGTTGCATTTTCACCATCAATATACCGCTATATGTAGTAGGAACAATGCGATTCAACATCTTGTTCTTTCCAACACCCTTCCTAGCTCGATCCCAAGACAAGGGGAGTCGATATGAGATCCGCACCTTCTTGCGTCCATTGCTTACATCAAAAACAGTATAACTTACTAACAGCATAGTAAAGTATACTCTACCATACTATACTATATGTGCCTTTCCCTTCCTCCCTAAGTCTGGGCCTCGGCGGCTTCACCACCACCTGCAGCAATAAGCCAGCTAAGACTAATGACGACGGCAGAGAAGAAGACTCACTTGAGATGCACTGGGCACCGAGGAACAGAGGTGGAGCCGTGCGAACCTTCAGCCAGTCTGTGGCTCTTGCACGCCTTCCTGATATTCATTCCTGTGCTCAAGCGCAGTGTCCACAAGCTGCCTCCGGCTGTACGTCGGCGAGCTGCACCTGGCACGAGAGGTTGCAGGGGGCTTGATTGAGTGAGAAAACATGATGCCACGGAACCTAACGATGAGGCCACGCGGATAGCACCATCTTCCACAGGCCCGAAGTCTGAACAAGACATGACAAGGCTCCTGTTTCGACTATGTGATGCTTGCACGTAGGCCTCGAACCAAGGCTACGACAACCCTGCAGCATTCACCCCTGCACTAGGAAGCCTCTTCGGGGTGCAAGACCGGCCTCTGGCTGTATGTCAGAGAGCTGCACCTCAGAGGTCGGTACCTCCATCTCCTCAGATGATCATGTTGTCAGCGCTTGTCACGGCCGATCAGCAACAACTCCGAGTCGTATATACTCCAGCACACTCCAGCACCCTCCAAATGCTAGCCCCACGCCTCCCGGCAAAAGCCTTCAAGCGGAAGACAAAAATAGAGTACCAGCTCTCAACGGCATGGGACCTCACGTCGACAAACGAAGCTTCTATAGGCTCTGACGGCCTCTTCATATCACAGGACCGACGCGAATTCATCATGTATACATCTTTGCACAAAAAGCTACATAATGGGTGCCCAAAATTGCAAAAAAAACTCGCAGTTTCGTGCCTGGGGTGAAGGCGGCGGCAGCTCTTCGGGCGGCGGCTCCTCTGGCGGCGGCAGCGGTGGTTCGGCCTCGGCCTCCTCTGCGTGGCCCACGGTCTCCGTGACCTGGACGCAGCAATCGCAGAAGTGCTTGTAATTAGCCGCATGTTTGTAGTATTGTAGTACACCATAAAAAAAGTACAGTCTATAGTATATAGTAGGTCTTTCGCATATCAATCATATTCATGGTGTGGTCTTCAAGATAAATATAAGAGCTTCAGGGTGTTCCGGCCCGTAAACTTGCAACATGAACACAGTGACCAATCCCCCTTCCTCACCAAAATTCAGCAGAGCGACTGTGTTGGTGCCTGGGCCGCTGCTGAAAAGTCGAAAAGCAGTGTCTAGGGCTGGGAGTCTACTTAGACCTCGTCCGATTCTTGCGAAAAGGATCTTTAGAGGGGATTGATACTGTTACTAACTTGTTACTCAATGTTACTCAGTAGTCGGACAAATGGATGTGTTAGGAATATTTGTAGGTTTGTGCTGCTGTGGCTGGGCGCTACTGGAAGCGTCACTGCGGGGCTCTCGGCAAAAGAGGGGATTCGTGGTTAAGCAAGCGCTGCGGACAATGCATCCGGCCGATTCCTCTTACTTATAATGCTTAATCGGAGCATGTCTTTGTGTGCATGGAGATGCAGACCCATGCAATCAAGAAGTCACCGAGGCAGCAGCGTGTGTATAAAGGCAGGTCTCGAACAGATCCTTCACAGGCTCCGCTGGTGGATTGAATTACAAGTCCTTCTCGACGGCGGCCCTTTACCTTATAACCTTCGCTGAAATAACTCCTTGCTTGCAGACTTACAAGCGATCTGCTTGGTGTGCAAGCTTGGGCCCTTACACTAAACTACCTTTTGCCCCTGCAACAAACGGCAAATTGCCCCCGCAACAATCCGCAAATTGTAAATATGCTTTGCAACCTAGTTTCTTAGATGATCGACCATCTTGCAAAACAAGAATCAAATGCTACACTTACGTGAAGCATTACCCTTGGGGTTTTCCCCCGAGGGACATCTAAAAACTTAAGAACAGTGCAGAAAGGTGGTCCTGTCATCACCTCCAGCGACGAGATTGGCGAGGCCATTCCATTCGAGGTAGTCGGAACTGTGCTCGGAACCTCGAAAGTTTGACTCAGATCTTGCAACGCCCTGAAGGTTTGGATGGCCTTTAGCCATTAGCTGTTTTGTTGCTATCGCGGCATATGCATGCTGCACATCCGGGGGTCATCAGTGCAGCCTTTACTGTTGTCAAACTCGATGGACGTCTATGCAGCTTCACCCTGAGTGATGCATGACAAAGTGGACGCGCGAGGCTACCCCCCATCCTCCGCTCTCAAACCAATCAACCTTTCGAAGGCAGAACCGAAACTTCTCCACTGTCTTCGGATTCGTTTAGCCTCGGGCTGCCAGTGACTGCTAGTTTTGCTTGAGGTCAATCTGGCAAGATTCCAACTCCCTCCTACCGGGCTGAGATTCTCAGATTCTCATGTGACATGAGCCGTGCCTCCGCAACAGTGGGCAGCCGTGGCGGAGGGATCACTTCGTTGTCGTCCTGAAGCGGGGATGGCAACGAGTTGCCTTAAGTCGCACTTAGGGTTAGTCCGACCAGTGGTTCTTGTTGTGTTGAGGCCAATTTCTGACGTGCGGCATAGCCTCTCACTGCATGCTCTACTTGCAGAACTGCGACACAGATGGGTCGAGCGCGACTTTTCTGCGGAGGTCTGTGTTGATTTTCGGGGTTCCTAAGCCACAAGTTATGCAATTCCTCGGGCTTGAACTCCGGCCTGTGGCAGATCCGTCTTGGAGTACGGCGGCTCTTCCGCCGGCTGCGGACGGCCTGAGCGAGCACACGCAGATGCAAATGTTTTCGGCCGTGACACGTTTCCTTGAAGGATTGGGCGCTTAGCATGTAAGGTTTTTGTTAGGGTAGCTGCACGTAGCACCATACCTACTGAGGTTTAAGGCTGCTGATCCTTCCAGAGTTTGTCTCATGTTGCTTCCAGCATTCACGGATACCAGGATCGGCGGACTGGATCGAAATCTGCTTTCTTTCGGACAGGATGATCAGCAGGCACTTTCTAGCTAGAGCCATGATGAAACAGCAACCGGCAACGTACAGTACAAACGGGTGGCCGCAAGAGTCCCAAGCTTGAGAATGTGCTTGGAAAGTCTCGCTTCGAAAAGTTTACTCAGCGTCTTACCGCCCAACGTCCGGCACTGTGTCAGAAGTCTTCCTCGTGCTACTTTGAACTGTCACCATAATGGCAAGTCATGTCGGGAAGCTTGTGCACTCCGGATGGTTCAAGCTTGTCCCAAACACATCGGAACGCAATATTGCTCTATCACGTGCTCGCCCAGAACAAGACGTGAGCAGTGTTTTTTTTGGTGGTTCGGGCTGTTCGTATATCACTGGTGACTACGCGGGACTCCGCTGGATCCCTGATTTAGATGGGGCGCGGGACTACGCAAGTGCATCATGGAGCAGCCTTGCCTACGCAGCCTACGCGTGCGCACTGTGTAAAGGTCGAATACATGGTGGGGTTTTCAAGCAACCAAGCTGATTTCTGGAGATTTTGGGCTGGCCTCTTCTGTATTTACTAGCGAAAACCCACATGCAATGATCAGAATGGCCCTTATAACGAGCTAAGCGGCTAGGAAGTCCATACTGTTTGTTTAATTTTTTGTCGGCTGGATTCTTCTATATACACTGAGGCAAAAGCACAACGATGGCTACGCACTCCCTACGCTTTGCCTACGCGTGGCCTACGCGAAATGGCACTGTCAGTCCGACAGTTTGGGTGGATTTGGCAACCGGGATACGAGGCTGACTGGTCTGCACACAAAGGTTCCGTTTTTACGCAAGCGATATTTGCTACCATCTAGGGGCTTTAGACTTTAGAAGTCGCTACTGCAAGCTCGGATCTTTCCGTTCAGGGCTTTGGGAAGTCCCTATACTGCAAGCTCGGATCTTTCGGTTCAAGCCTGTGGGAAGTCCCTACTGCAAGCTCAGATGTTTGGGTTGAGGGCTTGGAAAGTCCCTACTGCAAGCTCGGATGTTTCGGTTCAGTTCTGACCGCGCGCGCACGCCTACGCCGCCCTTGCCCTATACAAAAGCCCTACGCGGGACTACGCTCCCCACCTAAAATGGCTACGCAAGCACCTGAATACAAGACCTCCTTACATCGCGTAGACACGGTCAAAAAAAACGCTACTCACGTGGCATCGAACAATCATGAATCCTCAAAATTCTCCGTTCTTCCCCATAGAACTTCATGGAAAGCTTTCAAAGGACTGCAAGTAATTGGAAGCAGCCACATCCTCCTCTACCGGCTCAGAGCATCAATTCACCGGCTGGCCAGAAAAAGCTCCCAACGACTCCAATACCCCTCGCTTGAAACTTCCTCTTGGGGGATTTGAGAGACCCAGGATCAAAACCAGGGAGATATTCGGGCCCCTAGAACCCTCATCTTCTGCACCCCCTGGGAGAGAGTCCCTACCAAGAAACCACACAAACTTGAGACCCCATAAGATAAACCCTTCTCAAGCCCAAAGGCCCTGATTGAACCCTCTTTTGCTTTTTTTCCTGGGCCGGAGGGCTGCAGCCCTTCCACACCATCAAACCCAGCAGAAAGAGGATGGCGGCTCCCGCCTCAGTGCTACAGTGATTTCGGCTTTGCTTGCACCCTCTCTTTGTGCGTAGTTGCTTTGAGGCGAGACCTGTGTGTTGGAGTGTGGCCGGAGCGGGTATGCCGCAAGGCAGGACGCCAAGGAATGACTGAGCTCATAAAGTGAAACCTACTTCATTTTGTCAGGGACAAGCCACATAGGTATGGTGCGGGAGGCCAAGGTAATGAGAATTGGCCCAGTCGTGAAACTTCTGTCAGCCAGATGGTCAGGTGCCGTTCTCACTCATAAATAAGGCGAGTGCGAACATTGGTGCCCGAAAACGATCTGCCGGTGTTACCCCTGCGCAAAGGTAACATTGATTTCTTTGCATCCCTCCTGTCATCAGCGGTTTGATGGACTAGCCTGTGCAATGGAATAATGAAGTGCTGAAAGCCTTGCCAAGTCCGGCACTGCAATGATGAAGACGATGGGCAAGTCGTCGGAGCCACCCTCTCACTTACCGGCTTCGACACTCACCCACTGGCTGTCGACTGAGGCAGGCATGCTCTGCAGCTCATGTACGACTCTCCCAGAGCAGGATGCCCTCAGCAAAATCCCCTTCAGCCTTTAATTAGCCGCTACGACACACAACCTGCGGGCCCACCGTCCCTTCCCCTTCCGCAGGTGCGATCGCTGCAGTGACCACGAAGTCCTCCAGGGTCCGGAGTTCAACGCGACAACAGCTAGTCACTCTCCTGTGTCAAGCTGGAGGAGAGATCGACATGCAACCCAGGAGACTTTTTTCACAAACCCCGGCGACTTGAAACGACAGCCCTTTGAATACCACAGGCAGGCGCTCCTCGCTGGGAGCGCTGCCAAGCGAAACGAGCTCCTGCGGGGTATCCAAGTCCAAGACTGACTGTTCCATGGAAGAGGCTTACAAGACTAACTTGAGGTCTCTGCCCAGGTATTAGACCTGGTGTTCCAGCTTCTGTACATAGCATCCACTCTCTGCGGCGGCATGGCCAAACACTGCAAAAACTACAACGACCGTGAGTTGTTCAGTGTTTACGTAACAGATGTTGATAAGTCTCGCCTAGTTAACCACAACATACCACAACAGCCTGCCTATCTGTAAAACCAGAAGCCGGCGCTTGACCAGCCCACAACCCATCAGCGACGCAGTCGAACCTCACGGAGCAGAGTGTCGTATCCGGCAGTGTTGCTGGCCAGCTCCTGTTCGCAAACACGCTTATCGCAAGGCAGCAAGCCGCTAGTTTCGTGACAGGCTGCAGCAGCCACAAACACAAATGCAAGAGAGTAGATGGGTACGTGCAGGCTGATGATGAGCTACCAAACTGCACATTGTCGGTATGCGGTATGCGGAGTCCAACCGCCGCGCAACTGAAGGAATTCAAGAAGTTCTCTAGGTGACCTGCCCCGGCTACCTGCTGCACGGAGCACTCTTATTCCGATTCCCTCAAGCTTATCATCATGAAAACATGAGCTGATCGTGGCCTCAAGGCGTTGTCGCACCCAGGGCTCATCCACCTCGTCGACGAGGATGGTGAAGTCCACACGCCAGATGTCACCTGAGCACCATGTGGCCGTGCCTCGGCACCCTGACACATCTCAAACCCGACAGTGTCACTAGTGCCCCATGCCGATGCCAACGTCGAAAAGTAGTACGTAGTTTGGGCCGAGGTCTTTGATATCGGGGAGGAATTGTGGCAGCAACACCACTTGCAGTATCTTCCGGCTGGACCCAGGGTAATTGACAGGCAAATGTTTTGTTTGGTCTGTGAATGGCATCATGCGGTGCGATTTGTAGAAGCCTTGTTCAACCTCCCCTGCTCACAAGTGCCGCCACTGCGGCCTTGAATGCCTTTACCACACTCACAAACTCTGATTCACAAGGACTGAATAGCTCGGGCTGGCCTCTGCTGCTCTTCGGGCGGAGTCTTCCGCAGCTCTCAATCAAAAAGGACATGCCGTCTCCGTAACTGATCCTCTGCATCTTGGAACATCCCATGCCCCGAAGGCCGAAACAAATCAAAAACAAACTCGAAACCCTCTCAAATCCAGCAAGGCACTTAGCCGCCGCGGCAGACTTTGCGAACGTCTTGCCGAAAGTCGCCGAGTGCTTGCTCGGGCTTCAGCCTTGATCTGCTGATCTTGGCTTAGCATGGTGGTTGTCAAAAGCTCTGCCTGTGACGGCTTTGGGTTTTTTGCACTCGCACTCGCGCAAGGCAGGCATGGCTTCGAGACGAGTCTCCATCACTGCTACCGCGACAGCAGGGCATGGGCAACCGCTTATCCACCACAACCACCATACCATCACACTCTCACTTCAAACCAAATAAGCTACCAATAGATCTGCAGTACTGCCCATGCACCATCAGCTGCCACTCGCAAGGCAACACAAACCGCGTCCGATGAAGGCATGCGTGCAGCTGGGCTTCTTGTCTTCGGAGAAGATCCCACAGAAATCAATGAATAAACACCGCTCAAAATATGCAATTAGAGGCGACCGGCAACGGGCTGGCAGCACGAGCCTGGCCGCTCTAGGCAAGCTGTACAGCATGGCAGCTGTTAGCAGCTAAGGGTATCGGCGGCACATGAACAACAAAGGTAAGATAATGACAATTTTGGCAGCATCTTGGTACATGCCGGCGTACTTGTAATGCTAAATAGGATCGAGCATGACTGTCCGCGAGTACGACCACGACACCCCTGTACAAGTGTGACGCTGGCACATCGGAGCCCCATCCTCTCTACAGGCTGAGACGGCACTCCGATGGAGGAGACGGTGCATGAGCCCATCTTCAATGCTTCGAGTTGTAGTGTCTGAGCTACAGGCTGTGGGTAAGGCTCCCGTCTTAAACTAGACCGGGCATCGGATGACCGAGACAGGCTCGCACACAGTTTCTCCAAGCAGTAGAAAAGTGAAAAGTTTCGGGTTTATGGGAAACTGAAGCTCGCAATCGGATCTCGGTCCGAGGGATTCAGGACTTAGATGTGCTCGAATCCATGGAAGAAGCAAGCTACTTGTAGTCTGGGGGGTACACAACTGGTGCATCCTCCGCGCTTTTGGCTGGGTTCCCCTGAGTCGCCAGGTCCGCAATCTGAAGAAGCCTGGCCCCGTCTAAAGGGCTTCTCACTTGTTTTCGAGATCTTCATCGGGGCTCTGCTTGCTCGAGGCCTTGGTCTCGCTGATGGGGTACCACCACAGCACACCATCAATCGTGGCAAAGACAAAGGCACCGACGGTCAGGGTACAAGCCCCAAAGATCTGGAAGAGATGGTTGGAGGACCACGCGAAGGTTTTCTGGGAATACATCTCCACATCAGGATGGTCAAAGCTGTCATAGCTGGCAAAGCCATCGAAAAGCATTGGCACCCAAATTGCCATGCCCAGTGTCCAGGCTCCAAGGCACATACAGAACGAGGCCCAAAACACGCTCAGGAACCTCTGTCTGGATAGGGACCATGAGTTTCTCAATCCCATCGCCGTTCCAGTCATGAAGCATGCAGTGCCGTAGTAGGGTGCGGAGTCCGTGAATTGAACTCGCCCATGTGGATCTAGCACATATCCGAAGCTGATCGCTTTGCCCGGGATGCCGTTGTACAGGCCGTTCAGGAAGAAAAAGATGCCCCCAAACGTGATGACGGTCTGCGAAGCTGCCCCATAGGCATCGTCGTTGCGGATCACGAAAGTCCACGCCGTGAGCGCACCGCCCAACGCCCAGAGGAAGCCTTCAACGGCCATACAGATCTGGAAGATCAGCTCTAAGAGGTCCGTCATCTCAAACCAGTTGAAGGTAGAAGTGCCAACCAAAATCGCGAACGGGACGATCAGGGTGAGTCCTGCAAGGATGTTGCTCCAATCCGCGGCAGCCACTAGCGACCGGGGGGGCACTCGCTTGGATCCAAGGTCGGCAGAGATTCCCATGGTTGCACTGCGCTGCTTCAGAGGGCTTTGCTTGGCACGGTAGCTTGAGCCACCAATGAGGGCATAGGGGGTTAAGATCGAAAAGAAAAGGCTACATGCATGACGTTGATTGCTGCAGGAGGCGATGCTTCTGAGTACCTTAAATGGAATGAAAGCCACGAGCCTTGGTTCTCATCTTCTTCCCAGCATGTTGGTATGGTATGTACTGTTAGTGCATATACCACCGCTCCTGGTTGCAACTACATATGCCTCCACACATACATATGCCTGCACACGCCGATACGACTGCTCCTGAATCTGCGCGATGCTAAGCAGCTCTGAGCAGCTAAACTACTAGGAAAAACTGGTCTATCCAGAAACAACACCCGGACCCCTTTTGATACAAAAAAATTCGATTCAGCGTGAGGGTGCCAAGATTCAAATTTTTGCTTCCTGCCGAGCTGCTGAGGCAGTAAAGACCGACTGCGGCAGGCCTGCCGTCGGATAAGGCATCAAGTTCCTGTTTCAGCAGCCGCAGCGACAGCAGCGGCAGCAGCCGCAGCAGCAGCAACAACGTCTCGCACTTGCATTCTTTTGCTCTAACCAAGCAACCTATACACATACAGACATGTTATACCTATATATACATATACACATGTTTATGTCTATGTGTGCACGTATGTATGCATGCAGTACGGCATGAGTTGACGTCAAGCTTGAGACTTCCAGTAAATGCGAGCCATGAGCAACAATCTTGCAGCTGCAATTGCAAGCAAACTCTCCCGTGTGAACGGTATAATCAATCGAGCCCCAAGGCATCTGCCATGGTGTCTCAATGCCCGGCTCATTGCATGTTGCTCTTGCAGTCGTTCAAGTAGACGATAAATGATAAAGCACATGTACGACAGGGTTGATGCAGCGTAGCTTCTACTAACTTGGCTTTGTCTTGGTTGCTTTACCACTTGTGCTGTTTACCCGTTGAAATCAGCATGTGCTATCTATCCCCCTCTGTCGCACCTTTCAGTCAAGTAGTAAAGTAGTTTCCGTGCTCAAATGGGCTCTCTGCGGCCAATGCTGAGTGCCTCTAACGCCCTCCGGACAAGAAAGATAGAAATTGTAGGTATGTGTGTGTATATATATATATACATATGTATATATGCCAGGTTGAACTTTTGGACTCCTTTCCCCCTGCCTAGGTAATCCGCGAGCGTAGACACCACTGCCATCTCCTGGAGGCAGCATGGTGCACTCATGGCGGCAGAAACAGCGGCTACGGCTGATGGCATAAATCCTGCATTACCTATAATGAGGAATATACCATTATTCCCATAGTTTAGGGTCCTTAAGCTAATGCAGGATTTATACCATCAACAGCTATCGCTTGTTCAGTTCGAAACAGTGGCTGGCGAGTCGTGAGGACCGAAGCAGTTCCTTGAACAAGAACACCTTGAATTGTGGGTGAAGGGGGGAACCTAAGCCTGAAGGCCCGTGCACGCAACATTACATTTCTGAAGCCGGTTGTGTGCTTCGGCGGCTGTAACTTTAATGGGCAAAAGCTGGCTTGCTTGAAAAAGCGAACGTAGGCAACTCGACTGCACATATACCTTTGGTAGCCTGCATGGCGAGACTGGGGCTGCACTAATGACTGACGAATGAGGCGGAAAGACATCTCAAGTGATAGGGAAAGATGCGACCACGAGCGTCCAAAAGAAGTGGAAAATGAGCCGAGCCACAGCATCTTCCTGCGTGATGTTCTGGCGGGGAAAGCCCAGCCACCCTTTGATGACGACCTCCATAGAAACAGTCGACTGCACGAAAACTGTAGAGGCAAGAACTACAAACTGCAACGACCGCTGTGGAGTCCGGCCTGAGTCGCTTCAATAGCCGGAGCTTGTGCCAGCACCCTAGTCAAAGCTTACATAAATCCCAAACACCCTAAGCCCTGAAACCTTCAAGCCAAAATACCCTCAATCCTATTGAACCGTAGACCCTTTTTTGAACCCTAACGCCAGCAAGGGGCCATGCTTTCGTTGCTGGCGTTCCCTGAGGTGCTCTCAGGGACCATCGTCATCCTTGATATCACGGGCTGAGGCGAAGTGCCCACTCAGACCCCTTAAACATCTTTAAACAACACATGTTATGCTAAACCATCGTATCTAGTCTTATGTCATATTATATCAAGGTGTGCAATGTTGCTCTGTTTTGCTGTGTCTTAGGCTGTAGTACTTCATTACTATAGTATAAATACAATAGCTTGTGTCATGTTGCGCTCTGTTTTTCTGTACCATACCCTGATATACCACACAACCTTATGTCTTCTTAGAACATGCTGTATCATGACAAGGTAACAGAGTTTGACTGATAGGTCTACAGTGTATTGCATCACATTGCTCTGATGCACTGCGGTACATTATGCTCGGTGCTGTTATATTATAGTACGCTGTGCGCTATACCATAGTACGACATAGCATAATTCTAGCATGCTCTTTTTCTTCTGCCAAACTCTTATAACTTCTGTCCTCGAATATTGTCTACTTATTTCCGGTGTCTTCTACTGTCTGCTAGTGTCTTCTGTTATCTGGCATTATCTTTTGAGAGTTTTTGATGTTGTAGTATCCTGTAGTACCTGATTTGATTTTATACTGTTTTCTCATATACATATATATATATATATATATATGTATATGTATATATATATATATATTATTATTATTATTACTATTATTATTATTGTTATTATTATTATTATTACTATTATTATTGTTATTATTATTGTTATTATTATTATTGTTATTATTATTGTTATTATTATTGTTATTACTATGATTATATGTTATATATATATATATATTATTATATTATATTATATTATATTATATGTATATATATATATATATATATATATATATTACATATTTAAACATACGGCATATATATATATATATACATATACATATGGATGCATGTGTATGTATGTATGTATGTATATATGTAGGTGTGTACATTTGTATTTGACGGGGCATGCGGGGTGGCATCCGATTTGTGGGAGCTTTCTCGGCATAGTTTATTAGAAGCTATTTACTACTGTATTTTCAAACCTAGACCCCCCCTCCACCTTCGGATTCTTCATTGTAACAAAATGCAAAAACCTGGGAAGTACGTGCAGCTTGCGGAAGCAGCGCTAGGCTACAATCTCATCAACTGGCAGAGCGTCGTTGTCGAGGTCGCCGTCAACGTGGAGAATGTGGCCTCCCAAAGAAATTTTGCAAGCGCAGGACCGACACCAACACAAGATCAACAAGGAAGCATCTGGAGGCAAGGCGCTGTCTGGCTCTGTGTCACTGACCTCGTCAAGAGCAGTACTTAAAGTGTCTCCGGCTTTGTACAGCCGGAGCATGCAACATGCACGCGTCACGCTGCATTGCTGCCCAAGTCTGAGCACAATTCAAGATCTTCTGATGCCAAGGCGGCAAATTGCCACACTGATGGACCAAATCATGTCTAGGAGTCTAGGATCAGAACAATGCTGTGCATCCGGAGTGCGTAGTCGACTCTGTCGCCGTTGTCGATGTGACACTGGCAGTTGTCGACCTCGGCCAAAATCGAGCAATTGGTGCACTCATCTGTGCTTGAAAGTTTCGGCAAACGAGCAGGCTGGCCATTGCCCGATGTGGTGAATCTACTGCCCTGCAGATCTTTAATCGCTGCAAATCATCCACATATGTCTTTGTCTGTCGGGCTAATTTCTGTGGGACAAATCACCACGACAGCGACAGCAGTCACCACAAGGTTCGCCGTAAATTCAATCATACGCAGTCGTCATGAGCTAACGGAAACGAAATATGCAACCATGCTAACAACCAGGCACGGTCGGAATCATATACTATAATATGAAAATCTCACAAGATACCATAACATAACTCAGCACTCCCTTTAAGCTTCGCAGGATACAGATACATTTGGTCCAGCGAAGCCGCGAGGTCGCTGTCACACTGGTGGAGGTCAGCGTCCTGTCCAGAAGCTTTCCGAAAGCCTACAGCCCAGGGTACCACTCAACATCCGAACCGTGAGATGTCCTGCTCCGCGTGAGCAGAGGCATAAAAAGCATCCTGAATCACCACTCATTCAGCAGACAAGGCCCTGAAGCGCCGGAGATGTCCTGGTCGTGGTAGAAACTGTGGACGTCAGAGTGCTGGTCGCCGTCACAGACGTGCGGGTCGCACTGCTTGAAGTCGATGTGGCCTCAGCCGTTTCACTTTTTTGCCTCCCGCCTGGCTAGGACGAACCTAAGCCGTGGCAATTGGGGAGGTCGGTAAACAAGAAGACAAGTTGGTCCCGAGAACTTGCCGTAGCTTCAACCACGACAGACAGCAACTGCTGGACTCCCCATTCGGTGACGAGAGTTACAATGCCTTCGAGACTAACATTGCCCCTTTGAGGCATGAACCAAAACGCTCAAACAAACTCTGCAAGACATGCAGAACAGCTCGCCCGGCGCTCGGAGAGAAGTAACCTAGTATGAGCACGCCACGTGACGGTCTTGGTGTACGTCTGGTTTGTGCAGACGGGCACCGGCAAATTCAAAGAGCAGGTGATCTCGACCTCAGCTCGTCTAACCAAGCGTCCGGACCCTGCTCTAGTGTCAAATGAGTTCCCTCTTCGAGCTGTAATGCTAACTGGCGTGAAAGGCGAGGTTCGACTGCACGGGGCTCATGGACGGAGACTAACGCCATGCTTAGCTTAGCCATTCAACATGGTAGAAGTTATGCACCAGCCCGAGGAAAGCTGTAGGACCCAGCTGCTTAGCGCATGCAGCATTTCGTGGTAAGAATCAGTCAACCTTGCATTCCGGCAGATAACCGCATCCAAACTTCCAAGGTTGGAAGTAGCTAGCATCGCTGTGGGCTGAGCTTCGCACGACCAGTGTCTCACATTCCTGGCAACTGCCCCGTTCACCATGAATTGTACAAGACTTAATTGTGCGAAGAAGGACGGACATTGGTAGATTTGGGGGAATAGCG